AAACTATGAAAATACCTAAAAGTTCAAGTATGGTGACGATTGTAGCTAATACAAACTTGTCTCTATTGGACAAAAGAGCAAAGTGCAGGCAGCAGTAAGTTCCCTGAAGGGCTGGGCCATTTAAAACAAAATGGAGTTGAACACTGACAAGACAAAAAATATGTGGATAGGATTTTCAAGATCATGCCCAGCCCCTCCAAACATTAGTTTTGGCAATGAAACGATCGAAAGAGTTACAAAATTCAAGCTCCTTGGGGTCACAATGCAGAATAACCTTAAATGGAAATCACATGTACAAGATATCGTTACGAAGGCAAGTAAAATAATTTATTTCGTGAGGCCGGCCTGCAGGAAAGCAAATCTCCCGAGAAATATAGGACTTACAACTTACTGCACAAAGATAAGGCCCATTCTGGAATACGTGGCACCAATTTGAGCTGGCTTACCACTCTACCTGAAGGAAGATATCGAAAGAGTACAAAATCGATGTCTAGACATTATTGGTCTACCGAGGAATACTATGTCTGTAACCTGAGCTATTGGCTGCAGAGCAGGAATATTTTCCTGTGCCTACATGCAGATATCAGATATCTGATATCCCAAATTAAGCTCTTTGAACTCAAGAAACAAACTGATATCCGCATGTAGGCACAGAAAAAATTCCTGCTCTGCAGCCAATAGCTCAGGTTACAGACATAGGCTTATGCTTTCCAAATGACGTCAAACATTTTTATATAATAGCTCAAGTTACCTATAGGTTATAACATCATGTAAATACACAATATCATCATTCACCTGATGAGTGTGGCAAGCTTAGTTTGCCATACGAAACAAATTTGTCGTGAATAAATGTTTTAAACGAAGAAACTCAAGTTTGTCTTTCATTTGCTCTACCTTCGTATTGAGCACTCTATTCATATGATTCGACACTCAATATACTTATTGACATTCGCCTATATATATATATATATATATATATATATATATATATATATATATATATATATATATATATATATATATATATATATATATATATATTGTGTGTTTAGGAGAGGGAGTCTAAATTAATATGACCTAAGAAAACTTTGTTTATGGTTTGTTTATGGGTTTTATTAGAGAGGAGGCAACTTTACAGAGAATGTTACTAAAAAATTATCCAGTTGTATTGTCCAGCTTAAATTTCTATGCAAAATACACAGTTAACCCATTGAGCCCCAGTGCGCCCTACTTATTTTCTCACTTGTCTAATGCCAGACGATTTTACTTGTGAATATAGGGAAGCTCTGCAGCTTAATAAAACAAAGTGAATAATACATTTACTTATTTTTAGATCAAAGAGAAAAGAAGGATCCACAATATTATATTAAAGTAGATTGACAATATAATAATGTAGCTCAGACCGGGAGAACCCGGGGGCCCCCAACCCCAATGGGGGCCCCCAGGTTTAGGTGATAGAGCAAAAACATTGGCCTGGGCCTCTGATATGTTACAATGTCGTTTTCTGACCATCAGAATTCTGTAAAATATCTCCCCAAAGTCCCGGAAATGGCATTTTAGAGAGTCTAGATTCAAAAATTTTCCTGATGAGCATGCCCTGGACCCCCTAGAAAACTTGTGCATATACGGCGCTCAACTCATGCCTTTGGCACTTCTACTAGGGGGGCCTTCGAAAATTTTGACCCGGGGGCCCCCTGATATAACGTTACGCCACTGATGTAGCTGGGCTGGCTGCTAGAAATTAACAACTCTTAATTTCTTACATGAACAATTTACCCTGATATAATCTTGATAAGTCAATACTTGTAAAACCATTCAATAATGTACCATAAAGACACATTATGTAAAACAGTCGAATACAAGTTGTTACATTTTGTACAGTATTTGCTAATGCAATTATATGTAAAATAACTTGGACAAAACATTTATATGAGCTGTCAGCCTGTCAATCTGTCATGAGAGCTTTCATACTCCCGAGCAAAATTCGCAACTAAATTGTACCAGAAAAAAATAATTACACTACCAGACTTGATAAATAGAAAGTCGCTTACCTTTTCTTCGAAATATTCATAAAACAGACGAAAATAGTCCACTTATATTCCAAAAGGAGCAGTTTTAATAATCATAGTGCGGTTTTCGCCATATTGTTTATAGTAAAATTCTCACGCTATACTACCTAAGAACATGGCCACCGCTCGCTCGCGGGTGTTTGCAGGTATATGTCGGCGCGATTGCCTAACATCAAAGGAGTGTACTTTGCGTCCGACACAAAAACCACTTCTGTTTACATATGAAATGTTGTTATCGTCTGTTACCGCAATGTATCGGATCGCTTTTTGCAACGCTCTCATTGTAATGTAAACACAAATCGGAGCAATTTTCGGTTCAATACGTGACTCAAGATGGCATCTGGGAAACAAAGACTTGCTATTCTAATCTTATTTGCGGGTATAGCTTGCTCACTTATAATATTTTTGTATTTAGATGGGCGAGGGCGGAAGCTGTTTACACTTGGGCCGTAACGTTTCGTGAACGAAGCAAAAACCGATCCGATACAATGTAAACATAGCCAAAGCCCCGTTTACACTACGCTCAATTTTTGGTACCGTACCACTTTTTGGTTCTTGGACTACCTAAATAGATAGTCCAAGAACCAAAAAAGTGGTACAGGTACCAATTTTATCCGTGCCGTACCAAAAATTGAGCGTAGTGTAAACAGGGCTTAAACGTCGATTCGACGTTATATGTGGCAACATGAATATGTACGTGGCCCCTAACAATACTCAATAGTATATATTGTGGGATTGGAAGCAAAACATTTCACTTCTTCAAGCGAAATGTTTCGCTTTCCAGGACACAATATAAGAGTAGATGACTCGCTTCAAAAATCACAATAACTTGAAGGAATTTATTCGCATATTAGAGAGTTTATTAAGCTTCGTGTTATACGTCAAACGGCAAACGCCAGGCAAAGAAAAATTTTACGATATCAGGCAATAAAGAGTAAATGAACTTGCTGTTTTAAAACTGAAATACATAATTATTCTAAACGTTCAACGAAAATTTTGCCAAGAAATTTCGAACCTGCCGTTTGCCGTTCCCGGAAACGTGAAGCTTAAACTCCCTATTATCTCAGATTTCATGACAACAACAAATATTCTATTTGGCAATTCGCCACTTCATAGAATCCTATAAAAAGCACCCTTGTATAAATATTGTTCTATCATATACCTTCATATTCACCAAGTTGACTGAACGTTGGCTTTCTCGAGCAAATTCTTGCCTATAACCACATTATATTTTAAACACTTGTTCTGTTTATGGGATTTAATCACTGAGCTATACTATGTTACTGGATAACCTGAAGTTCAGGCCCTAATTTGAAATAGGGCCTGACACAAAACCTGTCTAGACCGTGGGACGCCCACATGTTATTTTTAGACACAACATGCAATATGATTGACAAGTGTTATAGATTTCGTTACACAAAAAATTATATTCTCATGAACATGTCCGCAGAGTGTGCATTTTGCTTTATAATTAAACTTAAAAATTCAAGGTACTCTTATATAAATAAGATTCAGACAAAGATTTAATTAGTCAGTTCTGTGCACGGCTAGACTGCCAAGCATTCTCAAGGTCTCAACTTGCTGGACGCGGATATTAGGGATATACTTTATTAAAACGGGCTAACAACAGCACGTTAACAATGAAATTCTCAATCGTACCACGAAGAAGGCGATGTAGCTCAGAAAACAACGCCGGTAGGACCTGATATTAAAAATAAGACTTTTGCCGGCGAAGCCAGTTGGCAAAACATCTTGGCTGTCAACAACAAGCTTTCGAATACATGACTAGTTTGGCTGTTCTTTCGGCGTCGTGTGTCCAAAATTCGTCCAAGATTTTGATAAACCCCTTTCAAAATACTGTTTGTTTGATTTATTTTCTGCCATAAAGCATAAAAGAAAAAGAAATTCGAAGAAATCGATAATGGAATTTGTACGTGCGTTTGATCTTTATATTAATTGTCGCCTTGACCGAGCTATTTTTAAAACTGTTGTTTATGTAAACTGGCAACCAATCAAAATCCTTCATGATGCTGATCAACCAATCAGATTTCCCGTCCACCAGGTGGACGGGAATCTCACACTTTAGATAGGTTTTGTGTCAGGCCCTATTCTGTGATTAGGGCCTGAACTTCAGGTTAGTTACTGGAGGCCACGCAGCCACTAAATATATTAGCATAATTAGACCCCAAGCCCCTATAAACAGTGGTGGGAGTATCTATTTGGAGCGGGGAGCGGGTCGCGGGTAAAAGGAGCGGGTCGCGGGTAAAAGGAGCGGGTAATTAAAAAAAGGAGCGGGTAATTAAAAAAAGGAGCGGGTAATTAAACGACGCTCGAGATTTACTGTTAAGGCATTTATAATCGTTCAAATGATTCATCAATCCTAACCTCTTTATTTGAAATAATTAGTTCTTTTTATTCTAAAGGTATGTTCCATGTTTTTATTTCAACAATTGCCAATAGAATCATTTTAATCATTTGCCACTCATGATGGCCGCCATGTACGTAAGGCATGTACGTACGCCGCCGGAAAGACATCTGTTTTTGAGCACTAAATAGCTGTATTTCAACAACGAGAAAAGCTAAAAACTTTCAACAATACTTAAAATTTAATACAAAACGTGTTTCCAGAACGTAGAGCAGTTTTAAAGTCGTTTTCTCAGAAGTCAGAGTGCGAAGTTTTTTCCGGCACGTTTAAACTTGTGTAATATTTTGAATAAGAAACTGTTACCCAGGAAGTTTTTGCTGTTAGTGGATGTAAAATACCATCCCGGAAACCAGGTTTGAATGTTAAAGTTGAAATATTTTGATTAAAAAGTACTTTTTCTTGCTAATTTTCGCCCGAAAACAAACTTTTGACT